GATGTTGATAGAGACGCAGGCACCATGGAGCATTTGGAATATTTTGAATGAGTGGATGAGAAACCCGAGGCACATTACCATGTTCCGAATTCACTGTGGATGCCCAATGAACTCAATCAAATTTTGGCGCGAGCCCGTCTTATCCAATGCGACTGTCCGTCCCCAACTGATTCAAAAAATCAGATTTCCATGATCCCAATATCCCAATCCCAATATTCCAATGCTTGTGCTGAATTTCCCCAGATCCCAATATCCCAATCCCAATATTCCAATGCTTGTGCTGAATTTCCCCAGATCCCGATATCCCAATATCCTAATATCCCAATCCCAATAGTCCAATGCTTGTACTGAATTTCCCCAGATCCCAATATCCCAATCCCAATATTCCAATGCTTGTGCTGAATTTCCCCTAATATCCCAATATCCCATTCCCAATATTCCAATGCTTGTGCTGAATTTCCCCAGATCCATAGTAAAACCTCAGTAACCAGTCGGAACCAGCAAAACACAGTTTAAAAACAAGATGAGCAGTGTTTAGACCCCTCTGTCGTCCCTTTTATACTGATTTCTTAAGAACTTAAGAACGGGATTTCCCATGCATTCTCATCATAACAAAAAAACAATGTTGGTTAATTGGTTAGTATATAAATTATTATAAATAATATAATCCCCTAATATCCCCTACTATAAATCTACTATCACTATCTACGGCTATCACCCGGGGATGGCCAGGGCTCCATCTTCAGCTTCCCGGTGGGTGCATTGATCTCCCGCTGGACGTTTTGCCCGGCATCGCGTCGCAGCTTGGCACCCAAGGAGACCCAGAGCTGCCCCACCAAACGCCTGGGGGAACACCAATGGCTGGGAAAATGGTACCAAAATGGTACCATTTTCAGGATATAGATGGATATAGATGGCTAGAGGTTTGAAATCTTGAGAATTTTTTGAATATGCTCACATCTGGGATACTTCATGTACCAATCAAGATAACCCTCCACTGATAGATTATCCCAGAAAAATATTATATAAACTGCTATGCAGCATCAACTCCCGGAACAACAGGGAAGGCTTTTGTTACCCGTCCAAGAAATGTTGGGCCCTGAGCCCCATTGTTTTGCCTTTAAAAACGGGTCTACAAGCAATACTTGGAGGTGTCAATGCTATGGGCACGCCAACCATGAGTTTGTTTGCAGGATCATATCTCCATATGTGCTATTTTGTGATTACATCATCTTACATCTCTGGCAACCCAGCTGGCATAAAACTAATTGCCCAACTCTGCCCAACCCAAACCAAGATTTACTCTGCCTTTTACCAAGTGCTGGAACATCCCTTTTCTTGCAGGTAAAGTCTCCAATTGTTGTTGGCTACATGCGATACACTGCAAGCTCCATCGTTGCCAAGATGCGGTGACAGCGACTGGAGAACCTTCACATTTTCCGTCCAGCCGCGGAGCAAGGTGGGCACCACCCGACGCACGGCCTTCGCCACTGAAAACAGGTTCACCATTCAGTTGAGTGTCACTCATTCAGAGCCAGCGCCTGGAATAAACCTATATACGTATGATTTTTTATCTTTGAGATGTTGACAGCGTACAGTTGTCTGCGCAACCCCCCAGACACACACATGCACACACATTCACATTCACACACCCAATAGCACGCACACAAGATGCACAGTTTTATCATCATCATGCATTGACGAGCTTTGTTTTCGTATTGCATGAAGAGCTCTTCCGGTTCACTTTGGATTCAATTTTACTCAATTTTGATAAATTTCATTTGTACGTGGAAAGCTGCACTCTGATGATAGATTGCCTGTCCGCTGTACATCACAAAGCCACCAGAGACAGCAGATCCCACTCGTTCTCCGATGAAGCACTCGACAAACAACGCCAAGGATAGCGCCTCCATGTTGTCCTAGGATGATGTTGGATGATGTTGGATGCCCTCTGGTCATGTCAAAATAGCTATTGAAAATGACCATTTATAGTGGACTTAACCATTGAAAATCGTGATTTTCCATGGTTTTTTTGTATGTTTACCAGAGGGTAACCAAGGTATCACTACTGTTTAATCCATTACCCCAACAAGACCCTGCTGGAGACCCTGTTGGCGTTCGGGGATCAGGTCAGTAACGATGTCTATGACACCCTTGTCCCGGCAGAAACCTGTAGCCTCCTACTAATTTGGGGGTGATAATATTGAAGTAGCGGCTACTTCTTGGATCTGCTGACACCTGGAATCCTGTCATGATAAATCAAGATGGGCAAGGTGGAATGTGACATCCACATCCATTGCGAGTGGAAAAAAACCCAATGGAACTGCCGGCTGTCAAGACATGGCATCTGAGGTATGGTCATCCCACCATCATTGGGGATTCCTAGTGGGTAGATTAATGATTAATGTTGAAATGACCATCCCCATCATCCCCTTCTATGGAAAAAATCTGCCATGTAACTTGCTCCTGGCACAAAAAAGATCCAAAAAGGTTCAGAAATGGCTAGAAGGACAGTTTTACACTTATACAATGTTACACAGTTATACAGTTGAATGCAGTTTGACTTGAGGCTGAAACCAGGGCAACCAAAGTCTGAGACCTGTGGAGTCTTTTCATCATAGTTTAAGAATCAGCATTGAAAGCTGAATTTAAAAAGCAGTGTCTTCTAAATCTTTTAATGTATGCTATTACGGAATTCCTGCAAAAGGAATTTCGAAAGTACCATGAGCTTGAATCCTCTTGAACCATGATCCATTAAAAAAAAAAAGTGATTGTGCGGCTATGAAAGCTGACGAGATCCAAAAGATCCCAACTCAAAGTCAATTTCTACTCAGATCATCTCGAATCACCCATTTCGAAGTCGATCAGACTGAACTCACAGAAGTCATGGCTTCCACCGTTCTGAACATCTCATGGTTCCATGGCTTCATGTTCCAGCCACAAGCGTCCAACCGGCGAACTTGGGCCACCAGTTCCAAGATGACTTCAGATGCAGCAGCACGAAGCCCATCCATGCTCTCATTACCCAGGCGATCATCCAGCAGATGACCTTGGCAAGGATCATTCCTAAGAGATTTGCAATGGACAAATCATGTGGTAAACCCAAGAAAAGATGCTTGGGAAAGGTTGGGAATGGTTAATCGCATGGTTTATTGTTGGGTATACCCCCTAGTTGGGATGGCTTCTCATTGAGTTTACCACATTAATGAAACAAGATGCAAGACACGTTTTTGAAATCTTGGGACTTGAGTCCGTCCTGTCAACCTAACATTAGCCCGGTCACACTCATATCATGGAAGCCGTCATCAAGGAATTCATCAACCAGAAATGCAAACAAGGGATCAATGACCCAAGACAGGAAAACACCAAAAACAGAGTGCCCTTTCAAACTTTGACCCCACAGAGGATACCACATGGCCGTTTAAATAGGCTTAATTATTAGACCCTACAAAGCAACAGAAAGAGAGTCCAGCACCTGAAAAGTCTGTGTCATGAGCCAAACACCAACAAGGGATTCCCAGTATTCCACGAAAGAAATTTCCCCACCTAGTGACCTAGTGGGCATTTGGCTCGAAGCAGGGGTTGAACTTCCACCAAGGAACACCAAGCTTGGAGGCACTTTGAAAAACCTCAACTGAAGGGCCGTGAACAGCTGGCGCAACAGGGAGGTTGACACATATTCTGTCCCTGTCTGGCTTTGAACCTTAATTGCTTTATTATACAGCATACAGTATCCTACGGTCATCAAACATGGCAATCACAAGTCACCCATTCAAAGATGAAATGCACATTAAAACATATTAGAATTGTGAGAACCACCATTTAATTATGTGGGATTTCCCATTGCCAAAATGATCATCCAAAATCCTGTGAGCTTCAGGTTGAGCCGGGACACCCTTGAGTTCAAGGAAGCTATCTGCAATGAACAAATTCTCCCGCAGTCGGTGCCGTAACAGCGGCTGCAGCAAGGCCTAACTGTGACTTTGATATGGTGCAGCTGGCTGAAAATCGTAGCAATCCAATCACTTTTGTAGGTGTCCTTATGGATGAAACTAGACGCCAGCCACAAACGACACGTCTTCCTTTTTTTGCTGAAGTCTTGATACAGTAGCCATATATTGGAAATGTTGGAAATGGGGAAACTACGACTGGAAGTACTTGGGTACAATCTGGCCACCCCGCACTGCAGGGAGGTAAAGGCAAAGGCTATTGAAGAGCGTGTAGATCCACAGAACGTATAGTCTCCTGAAGTATCCTCAAGCAGCTGGAACACTATGATCTTGGGGGGCTCTGGTTCCGCAATAGGCAACCAAGAAGCCAAAGCCGCTTTGGGTCGCCGTATCAACTTTGGCATGAACCTGCACAAATTAAAACACGTGCTGTTTGGGCAACAGCTCATTTCTACTTTTGCCGGGTGGTCATTCAACACCAAATAAACTGGGGAGATGTCCTCAAGGTTGAGACTTCTGTGGTAAGGGTTTATGTTGAACCACTTTACCATCGTTTTGACCATCCCAGATCAATGGGCCTCAAAACACTGCCCAACAAAAATAGCCAACATGGGTAGTTGCTGGGGACTTTGGCTTCCGATATACAGTACAAGGACGTATGCGGCATGAAATCTAAATACTTCATCAGTTGATGGTTGGGTGCTTCCACCGCATGCCTGCTGGCACAGGCACAGGAAATCCAACCACAACGAACCACAACCAATCTACTTGATAACGATCAATTACTAAGAGAAAAATGCATGAAAAGGATTAAGTAGCCGTTTCAACATCTACCTCCAAAACTTTCCACTTCCAACTGTTTTTTCTGCCTGGGAAAGGACTGCAGCAGCTGCCGCAGTTCCGACTCCGTGGGAAGCTCTTGAGAGACCTCGGTAGAACTTGTCTGATCCATTTAGAGTTTGAGATGTTTGAGCTGGGACGATACTTGACCTCTTTAAATCAGATCGGTCAGGTGGATCGGGTCGTCCCGTCACTGCCGTCACTGCACACTTTTCTCAATGCCGCTGACGGAATCAGTCGGGAGGACCGATGGGACCGCAACTTTGTTCCCATCTCCATCACTGCTACCTCGACAGGACTCCAAAGCTTTTCCGACGGAAGTCTCTGCACAACACAAGTTTTGGGAGTTTTTTCATTGAGCAAATCCTATTGAAATACCCCATGATGAAGAGATTGGATTCACTGGATTCACCATCCATTCGGCGCTTCGGCTCACTTGAAAGACTGCGCCATGTATCTCCAATGTTCCTGAATGGTCCTGCTCCCACTGGCATCGTGTCGGGATTATCACCAGATTCATGGAGCTAACATCCAACAGAGTGGGTTGGCCATTGATCTTTGAGCATAGCACTGCTGTGCACAGCTAAAATTGCTGATGACCGAACCAAAAACCTGGAAGGTTAGGCTCCAGTTTGTTTCCCGAGGGCATGCGTCCACCTGTCATCCTGCGAATATCACCTAGCTTGGAAGTTGCTCCTGTACCTTTTGATCATGATCCTTAATGGGCACTAGCAGTACCTTTGGTGCCATTCCCATGATGTGTTGCTTGTGTCACCCTCACGTCAAAGACGAACTCTATGAAACCAAGAGAAACACGCTCAAATGACTCAAATCACAAATTTGTCAAGTCAAAATGTTTTTCCCCAACAGCGTGCGCTGGTGGGCTTCAGCCCAGAATAGCTCCGGCGTGCACTGGTGCAGGCGCCGGTCAGGTTCAACGAGGTTCCGGAAAAGGTTCCGAAGGTTCCGGAGAAGGTCTGGGAGGCTTTGGTGCAGAGCCAGGTCAGGTTCAACAGGGTTCCGGAGAAGGTTCCGGAGTAGGTTCCGGAGTAGGTTCCAGGAAGCCTTGGTGCAAAGAGGTTCAACAGGGTTCCGGAGAAGGTTCCAGAAAAGGTTCCGGAGAAGGTCGGGGAGGCTTTGGTGCAGAGCCAGGTCAGGTTCAACAGGGTTCCGGAGAAGGTCTGGGAGGCTTTGGTGTAGAGCCTGGCCAGGTTCAACAGGGTTCCGGAGACAAAGCCAAGTCAGGTTGAACAGGGTTCCCAAGAAGGTTCCGGAGAAGGTTCCGGGAGGCTTTGGTACAGAGCCAGGTCAGGTTCAACAGGGTTGTGGAGAAGGTTCCGGAGAAGGTCTGGGAGGCTTTGGTGCAGAGCCAGGTCAGGTTCAACAGGGTTCCGGAGAAGGTTCCGGAGAAGGTTTTGGGAATCTTTGGTGCAAAGCCAAGTCAGATTCAACGGGTTCCGGAGAAGGTTCCTGAGAAGGTTCCGGAGAAGGTTCCGGGAGGCTTTGGTACTGAGCCAGGTCAGGTTCAACAGGGTTGTGGAGAAGGTTCCGGAGAAGGTCTGGGAGGCTTTGGTGCAGAGCCAGGTCAGGTTCAACAGGGTTCCGGAGAAGGTTCCGGAGAAGGTTTTGGGAATCTTTGGTGCAAAGCCAAGTCAGATTCAACGGGTTCCGGAGAAGGTTCCGGAGAAGGTTTTGAGAAAGACTAGGAAAAATAAAACGTTGCGACTGTTGGGGATACCACCGAAGCTTATTTATGTTTTTTTGATTCATTGCTCGGGCAAAGCGGCGACACCTGGTGCACCCAGATCAACATCCGCTCCTCATCCACTCAGTGTCGTCTTCGGTATGCTCCCAGCTGGGGCCAAAATAGCCGGCCCTCAAATCCCCATTCGCTTCTGCCAACTCCTGGAAGCGGAACCACAAACAGCTGACCATGATTCGACTTTTTGGGCAATTGGATGCAATTGGCAAGCATGCAGACGTCAGTATTGCGTCAATTGACTATGTAAATTTACAGTAGCGTCTCAAAGGAACTCAATGGACCAAGCAATTCTTTCATGTTCAGTATCTCACCATCTGCTTTTGGAGTCTATGACTCAACGTGAGCCATGCTCGGATCTTGAGTTGGTCTTCTCAAGAGAGAGGCGCCATGACTGTCCATTGAAAGAGTTTCTGATACTTCCTCCTTAAACATCACCAGATTGCCAGTCAACCACAATTTTCCAGGTGACCATTGTAATGTTTCGCCATTGCAACATATGAAAAACTGTGTTTCCAAGGAACTTTTCTGGGGACCCCAAAAGATGCCCAATCTCCACCTGATTCGAGTTCATGATGATGTTGGCACCCATCGCAATGGGCTCCTGCAGTGGAGCACCTGCACGTCAATGGATGCGGGGGTGGTTCCAATATGTTCCAATGTGATGGAGCAACAGCTATATAAATCATCAAACCACTTTAAGTGATGTTTAAACATGGATGAACATGGATGAGCATCATTGAGCATCCATGTCGTTTCACGACCGGCGATTTTGCTGTGGAAAACCATGGGATTTCCCATAGATCTTGCGGTGCTCATCCCGGCCCCGCTCGGATGCGTCGCCTGATAAGATCAGGACTTCTGCCTTCTCTGAGTCGACGGAAATGGTAACATCACCTTGCACTGGGGGGAAACTACGAATGGTAAACATGTGCCAAATATTGACAAAAC